GATATTTGCACCATTATTTCTCACTTATTCACTCATTAACACAGGTGCAGAGCGGAATTCCCATGTCCCAGGCACTGTCCCAGCCCCGGAGGTGCAGAGGGGACAAAATGGACAAAATCATCCATCTGGGGCCAGCCCTGTGGCTTAGCGGTTAAGTGCGCACATTCTGCTACTGGCGGCCCAGGTTCGGATCCCGGGGGCGCAACAACGCACCACTTGTCCCGCCATGCTGAGGCCACATCCCACATACAGCAACTAGAAGGATGTGCAACTATGACATACAACTGTCTACTGGGGCTTTGGGGAAAAAAAGGAGGAGGATTGGCAATGGATGTTAGCTCAGAGCCAGTCTTCCTCAGCAAAAAGAGGATTAGCACAGATGTTAGCTCAGGGCTGATCTTCCTCACAAAAAAAAAATGTATAGATATCACCCATCTGCACGCAGGTTATGTACCAACAGAGGAAGACGTCAGACAAAACAGGAAAGTGAGTCATAGGCAACGCAAGAGGATGAGCGCTATGGAAAAGATGTAACGAAGCAGGCAAGGGGAACGAGAAGCGCAGGTGGCACTGTGCGAGCTCTGAGCATACCAGGGTGAATAGGGTCCTCGGTCCCCTGAGGAGCTGCTGAGAACGGACAGGTGAAGGAAGGCTTCCTAGAGGAGGCGACCCTTGAGCCAATGTTGGCCAGCAGACCAGGCGGGCCTGGTCGTTTCAGACCACAGTCAAAGGCCCAGGTGCACCCCAGCAGACAACTGTCCCTGCGGGTGTTGCCTGGTCTCACGTCTTAGTCAGCTCAGGCTGCGTAACAAAATACCATGGGGAGGGGCAGTGAAGAACAGAAATTTGTTTTCTCACAGTCCTGAAGGCTGGAAGTTCAACATCAAGGTGTCAGCAAGTTTGAGGCCTCTCTCCTCGGTTTGACCATGGTCACTGTCCCACTGTGTCCTCTAGTGGTCTTTTCTCTGTGTGCATCCCTGGTGTCTCTACGTGTCCAAATGTCCTCTTCTTATAAGGACACCAGTCAGAGTGGCTTAGGGCCCACCCTAAAGGCCTCATTTTAACTTACCTCTTCAAAGGCCTTTTCTCCAAGTGTAGTCACATTCTGAGGCACTGGGGGGTTAGGGCTTCAACTTATGAATTTTGAGGGGATACAATTCAGCCCATAACCCCAGGTCATCGAGAAACAGTTTCCCACCCGGGGTCGGGACTTTCTTTGCAGGGAGGGGTGTTCCAGTCAGGCATGTGAATTGGCCCATGAGTGAGAATTCCACAGCATCCCACATTCGTCCCACAGTGGCTGCTGCTCCCCCGCCCCCACGTTGGCATGTGGCAGCCCGCCCTGTGCCGCAGGCTCCTCCCAGCGCTCCAGACGGCGCACAGCCAAGTGCCTCAGCCGTCGTCTTTCACGTCAACATAAGAGCACACCTCCCAACCCCACAAGCTCAACTTCCCATGTCTCCTCACACCTCCCGTCTTGAGCAAGAGGGAGAGAGAGCATCTGATTAAGGGTATTAGGGGCTTTAGCTGTATTATTCTTTCAACTTTTCTATCACTTTAAATTTTTCATAATAAAAAATAGAAATAAAAGAGAATGGAAAAAATGCTAAGAAATTTGTTGTGGGCTTCAGATGGGATCCTCTTTGACATTTTTGAGACACTCCAGTAAAAATTTAAGTTGTTTAAAGAAAAACTTCCCTTGATCCCTTCCCCCTACACTTACTCTTCCTCACAGCAGAACCCCTCAAAATGGCCATCCACATTCGCTTCCCCTTCCTCACTTCCGTTCCTCTGAAACCATTCTTGCTGGGACTCTAAAGACTTCCGTGGTGCCCATTTCAATGGACCCACATAGCCAACCACCCACTGGGAATCTTAAAGTTAACGTCTCCAAAATGGACTTCAATGGGCTTCTCCTTTGGTCTTCTCTAAGTCAGTTTCTTTGCCACCACCATCTTGCTAGTTTAACCCTGAGCACAGGAAACACCCTTGATTTCTCCCTTTCCTTGAAGCCTCACATCTAAACAATCAAAAACCCCCTGGTTCTACCTCCAGAATATTCCCTAAGTCCACCTATTGCTCACCGTCTCCACTGTCCCTCCCTTGGAGCCAGCCGCCATCCTCGCTCTCCTGGACTTCAGCGACAGCTGTCCAGCTGACCCCCGAGTCCACCGTTGCCTCTCTGCTATTTATTCCTCCCACAACATCTCCCCTTCTTCAAAATACCTCAGTGACTCCCCCACGCTCTTAAAATAAAGTCCACCTCATCACCATGGCTTCAGAAGGCCCTGAGTAATCTGCCACGTGCCTTTTTCTCTCACCTCCTGTCATGTCACTCTCCTCCACTGCTGTCACACTGGCCTTCTTTCACTACTCTGCACACACCTGGGCCTTTCCAGCCCCAGGTCTCTGTACTTGCTGTTCCCTCTACCTTTCCTCAGCTCATCTCGTGGATGAATCGTTCTCATCCTCAATGCTCAACTTAAACACAGAGCTTATCCGCTCACCCATCTAAAGCAACCCGCCTCCCATCACCCGGCCCCTGCGTAATTCTGCCTCCCCTCCAGATAGCTTCTTTCAGAGCATTCTCTTGCTTACACTGTTACTGTCTGTACTTCCAACTACGAGGGCAATGCCGAGGCGGCAGGGACTTTGTCTCCTATCACTGGGGCAGTGCAAATGGATGAAGGAGCCACAGCTGAGCAGAGGTGTCACAAGGAGACATGAATGAAGCATCAGGATCTAAGCGCTCACACAGCATCATCCTGGACAAACGCCATCTGGCTGACCCTCGGAATGTTCCAGCCTCCAACTGCTGAGTCCATTCAGAGCAGGTGTCTGAGGAGGACTTCAGTTCTGGCGGCAGCTACCTGAGATGCTCCAGAAGTGCCCCTCCAGCCACCTCCCTGAAAAGCATTCCCTTTCACATTTAGGGAAGATCCGCTGAACCAAATACCTTGATCTTTGCGGGGGTCCCTGCTTCCCGCCCCCAAAAAACAGCACAAACATCTTCTCGTTTGGTTTTGCTTTTCTCCCTAAACCCTCTAGTAGCTCCTCACCTTCTGCGGGCACTCCATGCCCTCATATGTGCCCATTGCCCATCTGGCCTCATCTCCCACCACCAGCTCATGGGCCTGCACTCCAGGCACCCACACCCCGACCCCCTGCACGTCCCACCTTTAGGCTTTGCTTACACTCGTCCCCTAACCTGGATTGCTAGCTTTATTTTTCCCCATCTCTCCAGAATGAAGCACTTCTTCTAAGCTAGTGCTATACCTTTGTATTGATATTTCCCTTTTGAGCCTCTTCCATCAAGCCTCTTGGAGTGACAGATAGCAGTTTACCCCACTAGATAGTTGTAAGATCCTAACACTAATGCTAACATATGTTAATAGCATATGATTTGCTACATATCACCATGTATAAAGGTCATGGCCCTGGGCAGGACAGCTGAGATGCGTGCCACAGTGAAGATCATACACAATGGGATGGAATGGTGTGGGGAAGCAGGAAGAGAACTGGATTTGGAGTCAGGCAGACCAGAGTTCAAAACCCACCTCTGACGATTCTTAACAAGGCAGGCTGGAGGAGATCACCACCCGTCATCCCTAAGCAAGATCGTGATCCCAGGTCATAGTCGCAAGTGCGATTAAATGAGGTCACGAGTAAAGTACTTGGCACCCAATCAGGGTTCAGTAACTGTTCACCTCCTCCCCTCCCCTGCCTTCCCTCCCCTGGGCTCTGCTGTGAGCCGGCCCACCTGAGTCTCTGTAGCTCCCTTCTCTCACTGAAAGAGCAGTTCTCCTTGCCCTTCCCCTGAAGGCAGGTTGCAAAGCCACACACGTGTTCCAGCTGAGAAGACTTTCTGTGGCCTCTCTGCCTCTGTCTCCTGCTCTCGGTTCTGATGTGACGCTCTCAGGCTTCTGAGGGGAAGCATTTTGCAATGACATCACTGCAGCCTTCGCTAGGCTTCCCATCCTGAGGAAACAGACTTCCACTGTCCCAGCTCCGGCCTTGCTCACATAACCTGATGCTGGAAACCTCATGAGACTACACATCTCAGATATCGGGTTCAAATCCCAGCTCTGCCACTCACAGGTTGTGTGATCTTGGACACATCTGCAAAATCTGTCTTCGCAGGATGGTATTTATCTACGCACTGGCCATGAACTAAATGCTCACAGCTGATGCACGAATGGGCGTTGTAACCCACAGACCGCGTGCTCATTGTTGTTATTCTGAAGTCAGGAAGGGCGTTTTCTTCACTGTTGTTCTTGTATCTGTGAAAATTAGGGTACTTGGCCAAAATTACAGTCCTTGTCCTGTTGTATTATACCTTATTATAGTTTAGCTATTTGCTGCTGTGTCTCTGCCACTTGGCTGTGGGTTTCCTGCAGGTGGAGATGGAGTCTCATCTCTGTCCTCCCCTGTGGAAGCACAGCCCTTGGCCCAGAGAAGATGCTCAGAATAAGTTTGACATTGGAGTCAACGATGCACTGAATGAATGACTTCAATTGAACCAAATCTCTCCCCCAACATCTCTGGGCTCATTTCTTCATCTGCAAGATGAAGACTGTGTTACTGCATGGGCCAAATGTAGTGAAGGTTCTCTTCATCACCCTCTTCACACTTTCCTTCTGGAATTTTCTCTGGTTAGATGCCCTACATCCTACTCAAAGGGCTGTGGTTCTTATACTTCTTGAGGTGCCTCTGTCCAAAGGAAAGTCTCTATGATGAACCGGAGGCTCATCATGTGGACTTGTAATAATATCACACCTCTCCAAATGTCTCATCTTGTAAAGGTCATGCTCGCCTGTCCAGGATACCCACACGCTCACTCAGGATTGGGGGCCAAGGTGGGTAAAGTCCTAGATTGCTGATGGAGAAAATCCAGACACTGCGACCACAGACAGGAAACAGGTTTCTTCCAGGCCTCACGTCCACACCCCACAGGAGTATGGCTGAGAACAGGCTGTGGTGTTTTCCATCCACGTAAACACCTATTGGGCACAATTCAAGCCCAGCCACTTTCTAGCCCTGTGACCAACAGTAAGTTAATTTGCCCCCTTAAGCCTCGGTTTTGTCATCTGTAAAATGGTGAAAATAATACCTATTTGAAGCATTACCATGAAGATAAGAACAACTAAATAGATATATTAGATAAAATAGAATAAGTATATATAATAACTAGATCAATAGAATAATTAGAAACAGAAAGCCATTATATAACGAGTGCATTATTTGGCTACATGGTAGTGCTCAATAAATGAAACTAAATTTAATATCTTGACTCTAGACTTACTTCTTGTGTGACTTTGGTCAGGATATTTTTTTCTGGGCCCTAGAGTTTTCATCTGGAAATTAGAAACAATCCCTACCTAGCAATCCTGTGGCAAGTGTAATGCAATGTCTAGATGGGAAATCATCGAGCATGCCACCTAGCAAAATGTAATTTCCTCCCACCGCTCTTCCATTAGACAGGAGCTTGGGAGAACAGGAGTCTGGTATGATACGCCCCTCCCTACAGTACCAGGGAGCCAAGGAGCTGCCCAAAATTGATTCTGGGACTCCATTTGAGCCCCGAAGCAATTTTAAGAAATGACCCAACATGTGATGCTCACCACACCTACTATGCACTAGGCCCTGAGAAAACCGTTCCCTGGCTCAGTCCCAGGCCAGCTCCGGAAAGCAGACCTTTGCATGAGTGCATGACAAACCTGCCAACAGGAGCTGGGGACGCCTCCCACGGAAACAGATCGCCCCTTCTCGGGCTGCAGGCACACTTCCAGGAGCGCTGGGCACACAGCTGCGGCTGGAGGCCGCCCGGGCCGGCGCACACTTACCCAATTGTGTCAGGCACCACTGGGAGACACAGTATCCCCTCTGAGCTGCACAAAGCTGCTGTCAGCCTCCGTCTCCAGGTGCTGCCCACAGGGGACCTTGTCGGGGCCTTTCAGGGACAACCAGGAACTGTTCTTAATGCATTCACTGCGGGGCCTCAGGCCCTTCCCACGGGTCTCCTTTCAGCTTTCCTTCAATAAATTAGCAAATGGAATTCAAGTAACATGCTAATAGGTGACGCCTTGAAGGGAACTTATCTAGCAACCTATTTGAGTTCCATTTTCCTCGTGAGAGGCAGCTCCCTCGCCCATCATCATCCCAGATGTTATCAGTAATAAGAGTAATCTGTCCTTACAGATAGGAGCAGAGAGGCATAGACTATTAGAGCCAAAAGAAAACTGAAAATTCACCTAAACCAGTGGTTCTCAAACTTCAGGTTATATTACAATACCCCCCAACCCCCACCTCTAGAGGCCTCGGTAAAATACAGATTGCTGTTCTCCAGGCCCTGAATGTCTGAGTCAATAGGTCCAGCGTGGGGCCCGAGAATTTGTATTTCTAATGAGTTCCAGGTGATGCTGATACTGTTGCTGATGCTGATGCTGATGCTGATGCTACCAGCCCCAGAGACCCTACCAGTGACCCAGGCCAAACTGTTAACATAATGGTAGAGAAACAGAAGCCCAGCGAGGGGAAGGGACTTTCCTGAGGTGACATGGGGAGTGAGGAGCGGGTCTCCTGTCACGCAGGGCAGTTCTTAGCCCACCAACCCAGAGCCCTTCGAGCTTGTTTTCTTGGCAGTGTCTACCACATGATGCTCAACTCTCTACACGCCACCACCAGGAAACAATAACACAAGTCAAGTCACCGAGCTGGTGGTTAAGGTAGGGATCACCTGGAACCTGTCTAATGTGTTTTCAAAAAATGGTCCCCAAATTTCTCAGTGGAGAAAACAGCCTGCAGTGGCCCGGCCAGAGCCAGGGGCGTTGGGGAAGGCCTTGGGGCTCTGTGTGGCTGGGTTGGGCCCAGGCGGCAGTGAACGATGCCATGGGAGAGAGCCACCCCAGTCCCACCTCCTCCGTCCATCTTGCCAGGTCCCCAGCCTTGTGAGAGATTCATCATGTGGTACTTCCTCTGTTCTATCTGCCCCTGCATTTGTTAGAACAGTGCGTTCCGGGTCAGAGCTGGAGAAGGGATCCACTCAGTCACAGAGCTGGTGCAGAGAAACAGCCTGGCTTTGGCACCTGCCTTGGGTTCGAGTCCCAGGTCCCATTATGCACACACGGCCTGCATCCCCCATACCTCAAGGGTGGTTCTGAGCATTAGGTTATAATAAACGTGAAGCACCTATCATGGTGCCTAACGTGGAACAGATGCTCAATGAACCATAACCACAGTAACAGTCATCACTCCCCCAGCCCATAGATGGAGTTTCTCCCCTTGTAGTTCTGATCCTGAGCCAGATGCTGCCTCAGCATTTTTTTTTTTTTTGGTGAGGAAGATTAGCCCTGAGCTAAGATCTATTGCCAATCCTCCTCTTTTTTTTTTTACTGAGGAAGATTGAACCTGGGCTAATATCCGTGCCCATCTTCCTCTGCTTTATACGTGGGATAACAGTGTAGCTTGCTAAGCAGTGCATAGGTCGGTGCTCAGGATCCGAACCCATGAACCCCGGGGCCACCAAAGTGGAGCATGTGAACCCAACCACTGCGCCACCGGGCCGGCCCCCTCAGCAAATTTTTATTACATGCTGAAGACTGTGCAGCAGTGTCTTCTCTAAGCAGGTGTAAACTCCGGAAAACGCCTTCTGAGGTTGTTCTGTGGATCTAAAGGGGGCAGGCCCATTCAGGTAGGAGAAAGGGTGTAGTTAGCACCTTAACTCTTCCTGTGAGTAGTTGAGTGTATGGGGGAGCAGAATTTGCCACCTCAAAATGTGTCTCTTTGGCTTGATCATTTTTAGGGACAAAAGACTCAGAAAGAAACTTTGACCTTTCCCCTAAACACCTAAAAGAATTTAAGATAGAAGGCCTGTCCCAGAAAGGAGCTATCACCATAGATAACTCTGGGTATGGTAAACTTGGAGGAACCTTGCTAAGGCCATTTTTATCAGAGCTCTCTCTCTCTGACCACATTGCCTATAGATGGCCCAGCAAACATCTGTTTACCAAACATTTGCTTTTCCATCTCCGTGTGAATTGCCTTCCTGCCCTTTGAAGTCCCAAACCACTACCCTCAAAATCCTCCTTTGTCTTTAGCTGAAGATGGTATTTAAGGTGGTGGCTTCTGCCATTTTGGAGAGTTACTCCATTTTCCTGGGTTTCTCCCATGTATACATGTTGTTAAACTTTGTTTTCTTCTGTTATTCTGTCTCATGTCAATTTAATTCTTAGACCAGCCAGAAGGACCTAGAGGGTAGAGGAATAGTTCTTCCTCCCCTACAAGTGTTTGCAAGAGCCTTTTCAGTCAAGTCAGTTTTACTCCTAGATCATGTGTCTCCTGTGTTCGGGACTGGGAGCCACTGAGGCAAACGGGCCATCCCAGTCGGTCTGTCCTGACAGCTGGGGCCAGGATAGGTGTGGGGACCCCGCTGAGTGTAAGCGTCTCAAACGTTTACATGAGACTAGAGGAATGGTCTCTCTAAGAATACAGAGTTGATTAACAAATGGGATGCAGCCTTTGGCTTGAGGGAATGTTCATGAACAGGTGAGAGGAGGAGCACTGAACTTGGTCAAGGAGACAGGCTTTTTCCTGAAGGAGCCAGAAATCATTTCTGTCATCCCAGAAGAGCTGGGTAAAAGTGTAAGACGAAGGAGAAGCTTGGGTGACTCCTCAAGTACCCCTGGTGGGTTAGCCTGGGGAAGAGATGCCCCAGAGCTGCGAATGTGCCCAGATAACCAGCAGGAGGGAACACGGTAAAATCATGTTTTCCCATAACTTCAGTTTAGCAACAAAGATACGTGAATTTTGTTTTATGCTTGTTGTGTTTCCCTAACTTGGGTTTTATATAGAAACTATTCTTTGTTCAGTCTAGGCACATGATATTCATTAAATAATAGTAGCAAATACTTAGACGGCACTTGGTAGGTGCCAGGAACTGCTCCAAATGGTCACAAACATTAACTCATTTAATCCGCACAACAACCTGCAGGTACCAGCCCCATTTTAAAGACGAAGGAGCTGAGACACCAAGAGGTTAAGTAACTTGCCCAAGGACACAGTTACTTAAGCAGTCTAGCTCTGGAGTCATTGCTTTCAACCACTGCTTACACTCCCCCGGGGCTACCCACCTAGGAGTCCAGTTACCACTGCGCACGTCACACGAAATCATAATTACTGATTTACTTGTTGGTTGGTCTCTTCAACCCCTCCTGCCACCAGCCTACAAGCTCCCAAAAGCCTGTGATCTGTTCATTGTGTGGTCATGAGCTATGCATTAGCTTGGCATGCGCCCAGTATAGTTGGCCTGCAGCAAATGTGGAATGGAGATGTGCGTGAATGAAGAGATTTTTGGGGAACAAATCCACATATCAGTTTGAAAAAAAATACAGTGCAAGATCTAACGTTGACTGAACACACACTCTGTGTCAGAAAATTTGTATATATTATTATTGTTGTTCTGCAAACAACCCAATGAAGCAATATCAGCCCCATTTTACAGATGCAGACACTGAGACTAAGAAAGGTCAAATAACATTCCCATAGCCATTATCCTAGGATTCCCCAGTGTCAGAAAAAACTGTGAAAGTCTTTGAAATGAGGAAAAACAGACTACTAGGTGTTCTTTCTAGAGCATCCTTCCAAGATATCTGCACCTTCTGCACATCTTTGTGCTATTTTACTACTCTGTAAATTGTAGAAAACTGATAATAATGCCAATAATTCTTGTCCACGGAGATGCAAATCAATTTTGGTCCTTGGAGATGCAATTGATTATTGCCCTGTGGACACTGAACTGTTTTGCTTCTATTTGCAAATTCATTTCCGATTCCTGACGGCCCGCATTTGTGTTCTTTGAATTCTCCATTGAATCTGTTTTTACATTTTACTGGTTTCCTCATTAATTAATGACTTAAATAAAATCTTTGGCATGTATTCATTCTATATTGCCATGAGAGTCATGATTTTATTTTAATTTTAGCACCAATTAGGATTCAAATCCAAGTTTGTTAGT